GTGATTTTTTTTTTTTACTAATGATGATATAAATATAAATATAAATATTTTTAAAGTATAAAATTTGAGTATAAATAATTCAAATTTTATGTTATTTATTTATAAATTGAATAAATTTTATTAATATTTATAATGAAAACATTTAACATTATAATTTAAAAATAAAATTAAATCTTATCCTAGATAGAAATTGTATTTCTCTTTTCTTTTAAAAAAAATGATTTGATTAACACAAACATCAGAATGTCAATCAAAGTCTCTATACTGTTTATAAAAACTTTTAATGGCATCAAACTTGATCAATGCATAAAAAAAAAACAGTTTAATTACAAAACAATACCCTCGCTCAGAAGAATTGACAGTTTTAGCACTCAACCATGCTAAACTAGGACTACATCCCTAATTTACAGGACTTAAAACTCCTATCATAAACCATAGGCATCAACGTCATCTGCAACTAGCTTAATTTAGACAAAAAACTTGCAAGCTACCATTCAAATTAACCAACTTAATCTTATGACAAAAACCTGCACCTCACGTTCTTGTAAACTCGTCCCTTGATGAGGATCCTGCAACCATATTTCATTTACCTTTTATTTCCTTGCTGCACGTCGTCTGAGACCTGATGTTGTCTCCTATCTTCCATGGACTCCAGCTTGTGGTCTCGTATCTTCGGTGGACTTCAACTCAGTTAATCTCTGGCTGATCTCTTCTTTTTCTTTCTGAAGAGTCAAACCCAATTTTTTCTCTAACTCCCAAATCTCCTCTACTTCTATTCTTAACACACCGTTCTATTGAATTTCAATCCTTATCATATTATTACGTACAATTATAAATATTAATTACATAATAATTATAAATTATTTCAATTGAAAAATGACAATTTAAGAATATAATAAATAATAATATCTATTAAATTATAGATACGTATCTCTTAAAAAGTTTAGAATTATAAAGAGAGAATTAATTGGAGAGATATATATGGCTAGATTAACGTCAATTTTTATCAAAACAAAAAAAAATCCAATAGTTAAGTAACATAATAAGGGTTAAGAAACCCTAGCCTCCCTATTTAGAAAAAACCAGGGCCGTGGAATGCACAGTCACTTTGGTGGTTGAGATTGTTTATGATATACTTTTACGCCTACCTGCAAAGTCTCTACAGCGTTTCAAGCTTGTATCCAAGCCATGGGGTTCTCTGATATCTGATCCCAACTTTGCTGAATCTCATCTCTGTCGAGTAAACACATCCCAAGACAATGTTAACCTGTTGCGGGTTGGGCAGATGAGAGCCATGATGGGGCCTCGTCCACGTTTGTCACTCTATTCAATGGACTCCAATGGTTTGAATCGTGAAATTGTAAGGCTAGACTATCCCTTCGGCGATCATCTGCGCCATGCTCGAATCTTGGGTTCTTGTAATGGTTTGTTACTTATAGATACAGAAAGCTGTGCAGAGTACTTTTTGTGGAATCCATCAACAGGAAAGTACAAGAGGATTCCTCCTTTTATTCAGGAGGATGGTCAGTTTATTTCAGGACTTGGTTACGAGTCTACCTCTAGAAACTATAAAGGAATAATAGTTTCTCATTATATCAGTGGATCATCATCTCCATCTTATGATAATTATCATAACTATGAATCTTTATGCTACCGTGTTTATGATTATCGAAAAAATTCATGGACATCAAAGGATGCCAGTGAGTTTTCTTATCGGATACACACTAGTAGTAAGGCTGTTGTGGTTAATGGAGTTCCACATTGGTGTGTCTATCGTCGAAAATTAAATGAACGTCATAATGATCGAAATAATTCACATCCTTTTCGTTTATTTTATTTTGATGTAACTTATGTTATTGTTTATTTTGATTTGAAAAATGAAAATTTTAAAAAAGTGGAGTTACCAATGTGGGCAACCCATGAGATGAAATTCGATTTGGGAGTCTTGGGAGGATGTTTAAGTATGTCCCTTAATCCTCATGGAAGCTTTACTGAAGTATGGGCAATGAAAGAATATGGAATACCAGAATCTTGGACTAAATTGTTTGTCATTTCATCGTCCTTTGGTAAATTGAGGCCAATATGTTTCCCAACGAACAACCGAAACGAAGTTCTGCTGAAGCTACGTGTAGAGAAGTTAGAGAAGTGGATTATCTTCAATCTTAAAGAAGAAAGCATGGAAAGGATTTTGTTACTAAATAATTACTGCTGGTATTACACGGATTTCAGCGAATGTACTTATGTAGGTAGTCTAGTTTTTCCAGATCAAGAACACCAAACTAATCATGAGGAATTGGTTGATGAATTTTGTACTCTGTGATCAGATGAGTCATTTCTTTTTTCAGTCCCACTACCATGAATTGGTATCTATTAGCTTTTATGATCAAAGTACTTTATATATGTTTTATTTCTCCTTTTTTTTTTTTCCTAGAGATTTTATTAGCAGCCATTACCAGCATAACAATGATAAGTCTCTAGCCTGATAAAAAAAACTTTAGCCGGCATAAAGCATCTGGCTTGAGCAAAATGAGACTGTACGGTTGCTAACAGACCCACCGCATAAAAAGATATTGGCGGCATCCCTAAAAAAAATATGGGCTATTAACACAACCCTTTACCTCTTCACCAAAATGCTAAGCTGCAACGAGCTCGGTACAATACTTTCACCAGCACATTAGCCAGAAACCTTTTTACAACATACAACATTCCCCAAAGCAAACTAAGCCTAAGACCACCTACAAGACCATAATGTTCTGAACAAAACAGGGAACTAGAACAGGCTGGCACCAAAAAATTCCTTCCTCATCAAGTGTTGAATAAGTCTTGAATTACACAACATTGTCCCATAGGAAGGCAGCAGCTTGGCTTCAGTAAAACAACCTGCTACATTCCCCTTAGAATGCCATCAGCAGCCGTCCCTCCCTGGTTCCACAGAGCATTCACAGCTTCACATCAGAGACCTGCTATAATCATACAGCCCACCACCTGATTGTATAACAATAGTCAAGCTGAACCAGAAACATAGCCATAAAAGACAGCCTTGGGACTTCCATACCACCACATACCGTAAACCTCATGTAAACCATCAAAGGCTTCCCTCTCTAGCAACTTCTCCCCCCTGTCTTGCCACTACCTCCTCTTCCAGTTTTCTGTTCCATCTCCCCCATCAGAATGACCTACTCCTCGCAAAGTGGCAGTTCACAAAATACCCCTCTCTTTTCCATTCTCCCACTCTCCCGTCAGCTCCTCTCTTATCCCTACAAGAATTCCTCACCCAGATGGCTGCCCCAAGTAGCTTATCCACCTATCAACTCTCCCCCGCATTCCTACTCCCTCACAGCCCTCATTCCCCTTCCTCCTCTGCTTCCTCCCTTCCTTTCTTCATATCCTCTGGCCTTCATTTAACTTGTTGGTTCTTATATACGAAATTCATGGAGAGAACATTGGAATAAAATCGAATGATGATCTGCCGCCGTTTCCTTTTATCAATTTAGTCATCCAATGTTTATGTAGGTGAAATTACCAGAATGTATAACCCAAAACACTGTATTTGGGCGGAGAAATATTGTACTTGAGTTGGGGATTTTGAATGGATGCTTATGTCGATCTCACAGTCAGAAGGGAATTTCTTTCAATTACGGCGGCCATGAAGGAGTATGGACAAAATTGTTTGTCATCCCAAGTTTCTTCAAACGGTTAAGGCCAGTGACATACACATGGAAAAGGGAAGTTGTAATGGAGGCAGACCATGAGATATTCGTAATCTTCAATCCGCAAAGATAATTCCATGAAAGCAATTAGCATCTCAAAACACAAGAGTTGGGATTTTACAGTGCCTACATTTCCATGAAAGCAAAGGGAAAAAATGTGGCAGGTGAAAAAGAGCACTGCTTTCAATGGAGCGGCTTGTCAAGTGGTATTCTTTCTTTTTCATTGTTTTTCATTTCCCTTTAATATTTTAGTCTAATGAATATTCATTTTATCCCATGATGGTGTATGTGTGTGATATATATATATACACCAGACTCATGATTATATAGCAAAAAGGCAGCAGAAAAAAAAACTATGCATCGACAAATGAATTCAAATGTAAAGCAAATTGAAATTCAAAGGTAAAGAAGTCGTCTATATAAGATTCTTCAAAATAGAAAGAACTTAGAGAGTTTTTCGAGTACTCTTCCAAATTACTTTTTTTGTATCTAAATAATTTTCTCAAATTATTGTATCCAGTATCCAACATATTCATCAATGACAAACAATCCAAATTTACCCTAAAACAGGAAAAATGAGAATTTCAAAGAATAATGAATGAAATATTCAATTCTTATTCTTAATTAACAATAGTTTATATAGATGATGTTTTAGTCTTCTCAGAAAATATAGAAAAACACTTTAAACATCTCAGAATATTTATAAATATAATCAAGAGAAATGGTTTTGGCTCTGATACCAAACCTTACCAAGAATCGACATCGGAGAGATATGCAGAGTATGAAAATATAATCTTTATTAAAAATATCGAAAAATTTTGGATACAATAATTTGAGAAAATTATTTGAATACAAGAGAAGTAATTTGGAAGAGTACCTAAAAAAACTCTCTAAGTTCTTTCTGTTTTGAAGAGTCTTATATAGACGACTCTTTTACATTTGAATTTCAATTTGCTTTACATTTGAATTTCATTTGTCGATGCAGAGTTTTCTTTTCTACTACCTTTTTGCTGTAGAATCATGAGTCTGGTTCTTTTGATGCAAACTCTTTTTGGCAGTGCTGCTTTCGGCTGCTTTTCTTTTGTCTTTCTTTTAAATGCCTTTACTTTTATTTTGTCAGCACAGGCGTGTTGCTTTTGTTGCTGTTTCGACAGTTTGTCTAGAGTCTATCGGCATGATTTTGGGGAATGAATTTCGCTGCTACTAGTGCTGTTCATTTCTTTCTTCTGGGAGAAATATAATCTTCATCTTGAGACAAGTCCGCCGTTGCTTTGGATGAAGCCATTTCTTCATCTTCTTCATCAGAATATAAAGAATTGAGCATTTCTGCCATTATCTTCTTGTACTCTATTTTTGACTTGGCCTGAGCTAATTTGGCACTAACATTGGACTTTACCTGCAAAAATCTAGCATTTTCTTGAGAACTTTGGGCATTTTTGCAGTCTTAGATTCTTCTTAAACCATGAGATCAAGTATTGAGGATTATATTTCCTTTCATTGAATTTGTACCACCATTTGATTCGGAAGGTTTTGATGACCATTGGTGCACCAGTATGGACGTCGGTGTCATAAGCATAATCCCATGATGTTATTCATGAGATTATTAATTTCGAGAAAAAATGTATTGAAATGTATAAATTTGCCTGATATTCTTCAGGTTGAAAACATTTTAAAAATTTTTCATATAATTCTTCAATTTTGGGTGGAAGAATCTCTCGTAAAGTACCAAACCAATTCCACCAATGAGAAAACTAATTTGAAAATTTATATTTGTTACCAAATTTGAAAAACATTAACCAAGAATAGCGATTGTCTTTATTGTTATAGAGAAAAGTGTTGAACTATGTCTACTGGTAATCCCAGTAGTTAAAAACGGGGTAATGGTCTATTGATTTTAAAAAGCTTACAGGAAATTTTTTGTAAAGATTGAGATTTTTCTCTCAATCTATAAGCTTTAAAACTTTTAAAATTTAGGCTGTGGAATGGGTTATTAGACTTGGATCATTTGGATTAACATAATGTTTGAAAAGAGCTGACCTTGTTTGAACCAAAATATTTTGATAATATTTTTTAAGTTTCTGCAAGTCTCATGGTTTGTAGTGCTATCCCTGAAAGGCTTTTCTTATGGCTATATGGGGTATTCATGATATAATCCTTCTTCTATGAGAAGAACATTTTGGGTGTTTTTCTTTCGGAAGTATTGTGTTTGGCTTCCTAAGGTTGAAGATTGGGATTGTGTTTGGGTGAGTGTTTGGTCTGGGAAAATACTTTATAGGTCTTTTGGTTTTGGTTTATAAAGAACTATTTATTTTCCTTGGGATTTTTGAAGGGCTTCAATGGCTACTTGTTTCATTGGGGTGTCTTTTTTGATTTTGGAGGCTAAGGCTAAGGCTACTTCTGGGGAATTGAAAAGAGATTCAATCCATTTTTGGATCTGGGAATCTATTTTATTTGGGTCTTGGGCATCTTGAAAAGGATTTTGGTCCTGGGTAGGATTTTGTTGGTCTTGTTATTCTTCTTCTTGGGTACAGATTTCGTACCATGACCGAATTGGTTTTTGAGAAATTTTTGGGGAGTCTTCCCTTTTTGCTTCTTTTACTTTATCTTTCCGATCTCTTAATTTAGGGGATATTTTTCCCTGCAAAGATTGAGATTCTGGATTGAGACTTCTCTCAGGCTTTTGAAATATTTGGAATTGATTCTGGATAAAACTTTTTGTAACCAGAATTTATATATTGATTTTCTTTTTCTGTCAGAAAGGATAACTAAATCTTGTCAGAATTTATATATATATATATATATATATATCAGTTCTCTATTTTTTGGGTGTTACTCTTTTGTATTCCTGATTTCTTTTGCATTTGGTTAAGAGGAACAGGAAAACTAACTTGTTAAAAATTTAATTTTCTCAACTTTTACTTATTATTTGGATTTAGATATAGAAGATTGGTTAGAGAATTATTTTAAAGGACTTATTTGGATCCTAAAGCTCACAAATTCAGAACTACCTTGGATGAAGGATTATGGAGTGGGAGAATCTTGGTTGAAGTTGTTTGTTATCCTTTATTTATTTATTTATTTTTTGTCAACAATGGAGATGATGATGATGAAGCCAATTTGTAGCCATATCCGCCAATGTCAAATTGCTTGTAGATTGGCTACTGCACTTGCCAGGACCAATTATCCAAACCCAGTTCTATTTTAAATTACCATCGTTTGATCTTCCCATACACAGGATATGCAAGTAAAAAGTTCTGATGAAATGATACCGTTATCCTTTTATTGACTTTGTTGGCATTCAGGTACTGACAGAACCGCATCAAGTCTTAAGGTTTTTGCTCCTCCTCTCAGACAATTTCACTTTCAGTTCGCAAAGACAGCACTAAAAAATTATCATAGCTAGATAAGTAAAGTTACAAATAAGTGGCACAAAGAGAAGTAATACAACATTCATTTCTATCATACGGTCCATCTAGCTAGCAACCTTTTTGTAGAAAATTTTAGCACCATACGAAAAGCATGTAAAGAATAAAATGAACTTTTGGAGTGCAATGTTGTTTAGATATGTAGATAGAACTACATGCGTTTAACTACACACAGAAATTCTTTTCAAACAAACTCTTATATAAACTATCAATTACTAGTATATATGTATGTATGTATATATGTATAAATATATTTTTACAATTTAGTTAATTATCCGTTGCATTTTATGTTACATAGATTCTCATTTTACTGTAAAGTACTTGTATTTACGTTTTAGATATTTTACAATTTATATGAATATGATGTTTTAATTTTCAAAATTAAAATAAAAAATTATTGAAAATATTAAGTATCCTGTCGAATGCATTATAATATTGATAGTTTCCATTATGGTCTCAACTCTTTTTATATAATATAGAGATGCGAAGACTTGGCTATAATTAATACATTTATGCATAATTAATCATAAACATCACCATTCTAATTTTCAGATCCTTAAACAAGTGGAATAGGGACAGCTCGCAAGGGTTCTGCTTTTTGTAATGAGATCCCAAACTTTTCTTCCATGTTCATGACCCCTCCTTCGATCTTCCAATCAAAGTTGTTAATAAGGGAACCTAACATTAAATGCAACATCCTCATGGCCAAAGGCAATCCAGGACATATTCGTCGCCCTGCGCCGAAAGGAATGAGCTCGAAATTCCTACCTTTGACATCAATCTCTAACCCCAAGAACCTTTCTGGTCTAAAGCATTCAGGGTTCTCCCAAATGTCTGGATCTCTGCCTATAGCCCAGGCATTGACTAGCACTTGTGAACCCTCTGGAATTCTAAAGCCATGGATTTCCGCATCTGGTCCAGCTCTACGAGGAAGCAACAAAGGAAGTGGCGGGTGCATCCGAAATGTTTCTTTGATGATTGCTTGTAAGTAAGGTAAACGAGCAATGTCTGATTCCTCCACTTGGTTTCCTTTCCCAATAGTTTTCTTTAACTCTACCTGCGCTTTTTGTAAAACCTTTGGGTTTTGGAGTAATTCTGCCATTGCCCACTCTAATGAAACTGATGTTGTGTCTGTTCCGGCAACAAAAAAAACCTACATGCATAATTTTCAACCGGTCGAGTTAGTCTATAATTTATAATTTCAACTAATAGTGTCAAGAACTAAAAGAAAGAAAATATCAAAGGGGAAAAAATTACTCCGAGTAAATGCGTGAGATGTGTTTTATTGAGTTCCACGAGATTATCTTCAATGATGTCTAGTAGAGTGTCCAAAACATCGTCGTAGGCAATAGACCCATGCTCTTTTCTTGAATGCAACCGCTCATCGAACATTTTGTCAACAAGGTTAAGCAACTTTGTTAAATGAATTGACATCCTGCGCCGTACACCTTGTGGATCAATCTTTCTTAGCACAGGGAAGTAATCAGCTAGGTTAGTCTTCCCTCCCTCTTCCATGATACTGCACACAGTTTGCTTGAAAGCTTGTGCATCTTTTGAATTTGGATCGACCAAATCCTTGGAGAAAACAGTATTAGACAACAAATTGATTGAAGTATTGAAAGCTGCTTGGCCTATGTTGACTGCTACACCAGCACGGCCATGCTTGTGAACATAGGAAAGAAGCTCTTCTATCTTCTTGCGGCGCAGGTATTGATTGGCGTTGAGTTTTTTATTACTGAAAAAATGTGAATTGCATACTTTGCGAAGGGTTCTCGAAAGCGGTGAAACAGGCATCCATGGCAACCCGACTTCGTCGTGTTGTTTGACTCGGACAGCGTCACCGATTGTTCGGTTGGAGAAGGTGAGATCATGGTTTTGTAAGACTTCTTTAGCCATGGCTGCTGAAGAAACAACTATTGTGGTTAAGCTGCCTAGTTTCAGACTCATTAAGGGGCCATGAGTCTTGGCAAGCTCGGCCAGGGACTTGTGGGGTTTGTCACCAAGATCCAACAAGTTCCCCAATATTGGAATCCGCCGTGGACCAGGTGGAAGCTTGCCGGAGCTCGCTCTGCTCCCCCCTGTAATGGAACGGAGAGCTTGAAGTAGGACCCAGGTCAAGAGTAGACATAGCAAGCAACTTGTCAAGGAGTACTCCATTTCCCTTCCCCTGTATGCAACAAAGATCTCTGGTGAGCCCATCGATTTATAGTAAAAATACTTCCATTCATATATACATCCAACTAATTAGAAATAGGCAAAGAATAATTTCCTAAATTCCAGAATGGAAAAGGCCTTTGACATCCTAAGCAAACCTCAAAAAAGAGTGAAACATGAAGTGTTGATTACCTGGAAAAAAACGAGCAAGACATTTGTTAATCTAAACGTCGATGGGAGCGCCAGAGGCCAACCTGTTGAAGCAGCTGCAGGTGGAGTTATCCGTGATGACAAAGGAGAATGGATACTGGGATTCACTCATAAAATTGGTACAACTTTTTCTCTAAATGCTGAGCTATGGGCATTATTCCAGGGCTTAAATTTGTGTTGGAGAAGGGGATTTAGGAAGGTTCAAGTGGAAATTGGCTCTCTCCTTGCCATACCAAAGTTGTCGATGGCAAGTAATATTTTAGACCCAAATGTGCATTCATTGAGTAACATTAAAGAACTACTCCTACAAGATTGAAATTGTAAAATATCTCATATATCTTATGAAACGAACTAATATGTCGACTAGATGACCATACATTATAATAATTTACTTTTGAGACTTAATATGTTTAGATCTCCTCTTTCTAACACTATTTCTCTTTTACTGGTTGTTGTTTTAGGAGTTACTTGACTTAAAATAATATAATAAATTATTCTATTTCCACTATATAAAAAAATGAAAAAAGGACTTCTGGCAGCAATAATTATAGGAGTCATTATCTTGGACCATCCAGGACAATGGACAAAAGCTTTGGCAGCAGCATTATTGCTCCTTCGTCGTCAAGTCTTGGAATAAAGATTTTATATTTGAAGAGGTAAAGATTCAGAAATGTCAATATTTTGTAAAAGTTTTTTTTTAAATAAGATTCAATTTTTTTATCACTCATGACATTTTATTTTTATAATTTATAAATCTTTAAAATTATTTAAAAAAATCAATCTTAATAATTTATATAAAATAATTAATTACTATAATTATAAATAACTTAATAATGACAATAATCTCAATTTTTAATAACAAACGAAAATTAACAAAAATAATAACAAAAATCTTAATGGGAAGTAATATCTTAAAAAATATTAACTGCTATCAATAAACAATTCAATGGAAAGCAATTCTCTAAAATTAATAACAAAAATTAAATACAACATCAATAAACAATTCAACAAGGAAGCAACCCTAAATAAAAAACTTGATTATTCACAAGAATTTAAACAAAAAAATAAATAATTTGTAGGAAAGTAATCAATTAATCCCTAAATGAATAAATAATAACTAACTTTAAGTGCTTAATTAAATTCTTGTTTGGTTGTTTTCAACAAAAATGGTTAAGATGATAAATCCTAAATCAAAATCACTAAATAAAAACTATTAAATAAAGGAAAAGTTTAAAGTTGAAAATATTAAAACTAAAATGACAGTAAATAAACTAAATCCTAGCCGAATTTTACACATTTCCAACATTTATCAGCCGTGGCCGAGAGTATGCCATTGTTTTATTGGCCCTCATTTTCACAAACTAGTGCTGTAGACGCATGTACCATATAAGCTTTACTCCATGTACGTATCCCCGTCCTTGATCGATTGGAATCGGAATCACTGATACCAGCCATTCTCTTAAGTAGCGTTTGCGAAATCAAATTTGGATTTGGCTTTTAAATGCTTAGATTCAAATATCTTCACTTAAAAGTCACGAATTTGAACTTTTTATTTTGGATTAATTTCAAATTTGGAGTTTAAGGTTTTGCGACTTTTAAAAAAAAATAAAAACAAAATGTATTATTTGTATATGACGGATACTTTTTATCAAAAAGTAATTTATAATTTTTAAAAATATTAATTCTTTTGACAAAATATGTCACGTGTAATTTTATATATTTAAAAAATAATAATTAATTAATATTTGTATTTGATCTATAAAATATAACGTACGAATATATACATATACTATATTCTAATAACAATTCAACCAATATTCATTAGTCATGAAGGCAAAAATAATAAAAAAAAAGACTATATATATGACAAAATTCAATTTTAACATGTTGTTCTAAATTTTTAGTTATTAATTATAAATAGAAATAAAAAAAGGAAAGATACAAAAAGTTGTTAGGTTCATTTTTTTTTATACAAAATTGAGCAATTACCTTCCAAAAAGAATTATGATGAGGATCAAAGTCCAAGAGAGATGGGGAATTTGCACCTTGAATTAATTTATTTCTCCCAAACTTATAATATATATTTATATGCATGTAGGTACGTATTCAAAATATAAATAGCAATATTATGAAAAGATAATAAAAGTAGTAGAGTTTCAATTTATTAGTTAATAGCTAATTAATATTTCCTTAAATTTCCAAGATATTTTTCTTGAACTCTTGAATGCTTTTTCTACATTTTTTCATCAATTAGGGAAAATTTATTGGATCAAAAGCTTTCTGGTTTTTTGAATATAGCTACAGTAAATGAGAGATTAATGGGTTTGAAGGTTGGAAAGGGAGGTCCTAATGTCACTCATTTGTTTTTTGCCAATGATAGCATGATTTTTGACAGGGCAAAGGGACAAGAAGCTTTGGTTTTAAAAGATATTCGAGCGACTTATGAACAAGCTTTTGGTCAGAAGATTAATTTGAAGACATCAGTTGTATTATTTAGCAACAATACAAGGGCGAGTGATGTCCAAGAGGTATGCAATATCATGGGAATCAATCAGGGACTATGGGTTGGAAATTATCTAGGTATGCCATTGATAGGAGGAGGAACAAAAAAATAGATTTTTGCTTATGTCAAAGAGAGGGTCCTGAAGAGACTATCAAATTCGAAAAATAAACTTTGATTAGTAAGAGGTAAGGAGGTATCAATTGCACATGTCATTCCTATATATGTGATGACTTACTTTAAGTTACCAGATTCTATTTGTCAAGATAGTGATTCTGCAATTGCTAGATTCTGGTGGGGTTGATGAGAACGATAGAAAGATTCACTCAAAGAATTGGAACTTGATATGCAAATCTAAATTTCCTGGTGGAATGGATTTCTGAGATACATAGAATTTTAATCTAGTGATGCTTGTAAAATAGGGCTGAAGGCTATAAGTGAAAGAACCTACTCTTGGGTACCAAGTATTAAAGGCAAGGTACTTTCCTAGGCATGAATTTGTTCTGATTGGATCAAATCCGACTTATAGTTGGAGAAGTATTAAAAAAGGTTAGATGGTGATCAAGAAAGAGTTGCTTTAGAGAGTTAGGGATGGAATTTTGATTGTTAAATTTTGATTTGGAGAGTCAGATGATCAATAACTAAATTTTGATTGGTCAAAAATATGAATATTATCTCTAAATTACTTTGATTTATTTAAAAATAAATTGAATGATCAATAATTAAATTTTGATTGATCCAATTTGAATATTATTTTCAAATTATCTCAAGAGATAAATATATGATAGGTGAATTGGTGCAATTATGTACCTTTGAAATAATTCAACTAATAAATTAATTATTTTATAATTAATTATATAGTTATGACATTATCAAGTCCACATGGTGGCACATAATTAGATCATAATTGTTCTCCTTTTACACAATGATCCAAAAACTGATTTTCATTGTATATGTAATTGTCAGTATGCTCAAGCAATGTGGTTGGCTTTGAGATAGGGATTTAGAGATGTTGAAATTCAATTTCAGAATTTATTTCAATGGATTTGTTTCCTATGTGATCGAATCGATAAAGAGAATATAGAAGAAATTCTTCATGTTTTATAGGCAATATGGAAAGCTCGAAACTTGCTGATCCTTAAGGACAAGAAGAGGGAACCAGGCAAGGTCGTGAATATGGACTTGACTCTGTGCAGGCAATATAAGGAGGCCAATTGTTTTACCCATAATATGCAACAGATAAATGCTGAGTTGTGGACACCCTGGATTAGACCGAATGGCCTAAAGTTGAACTTAGATGCTGCTACATTTGTAAGGGATGGTGAAGCCATAATGGCTGCCGTTTTATGGTTAGAAACTCTACTAGTGGCATGGTACTCATGGGTGCAAAAAGAATGTTACACAACTCATGTGTTTATTATACGGAATCAAGGGCTGTTACATGAGTGGTGATGATTTGTCCAGAAAGTAATCTTATGCTTGATGAGATAGACGTCGACAACCTCATGGTGGCTGGATGGATTTCAACTAAAAATTTTCAAAGGGGCTTCAGATTTATTAGTAGAGGATTGTAATTTTTTTTAAAAGGGATGGCAACACAGATTGTGAAGCATGTGCATAGAAAAAGCAACGTGGTGGCTCATATGGTAACAAAGTTTGCTATGGATATACCAATAGATCAATTTATATGGCGAGATGTTTCTTTTATACCAAACCCAATTAGAGATTGTGTGATCAAAGATGCCTTATTGATTAATTAATTAAAGGGTGTGTGGACTTAGATTTGGATATTTGTAATGCATGATTAACCTAAGTACTCTTTTGTCCTTACCACTATTTTTATCTTATTGGGTTTTTCTATGGTAAGATTTTTAACAAAGCTTATCTTTCATATTTTAAGCAATATTGTGGGTGGTAATTACCATATATTATATAAAGTGGCCCACGAGGCATTGATATTGATGAAGTAAAAAAATATTCATTTTTCTTTTAAAATGTTTATTATATAGTAATAAAAATCTGTGGTGGATTTCAGTCAAATCCAAACCTAACGACTTGAGAACGATTCCCAAATAATGAATTTGCATTAAGAAGTCTACCACAAAACCAAAACTCCCAGACGGAGCGCATAGGAATTAGGCAAGTGGTCTATGAATTATGATGCTGTTGCTTTGCTTTGCTTTACTTCAATTATTAACATCTGAATAAGGCAAAGAGCCTCATTTGCACATGGAAAATACGTTTGGCATTTTACCTATCAAAATACTGAATTATTGTGGTGAATATGAGGTCCGTACGCACACATGTCGACTTGTAATTTGTTGGCTCCAATCCATCGCTAATTTTCTCTTCTTCTTCTTTTTTTTTTCCAATATTTCTTAAGTAAAACAAATTAATTGACGGTTTATAGTCGATATGTTGCTGTAAAAAAAAAAAATTTAAGACGGGATGGGCCATGCCTGGGCTGGCACGCTCTAACCAATCGAAGTCGGCACGGCATGGCCCATGAGGATAGCCCGCAACACTCAGCAAGGCCGTAATCCGTTGCATGGAACAAAGCAGCACACGTATATTATAAACATAACAACGAAGTAAAATATATTCTCACAAAATAAAATAAAAGCCCCATAATTGGTTTACATCCAAATTTTCACACTATATAACTCTAAATTAATGTCAGCTTATCGTTTTTCTTGATTGTGATGTAATATTTTAATTTCTTTGTTGACCATGTATGATCAAGAATTTATCATACCATGTTCCTTGTCGTTATCAATTAAGGCCTAATTCTCCCTATTCAGTCTCTGGCCAATTGTTTAGAGAAAAAAAAAAAAGGGGGGGGGGGCGGCTGTGAATGTGAAGGAGTCCTTATCGTAGGATTCTGGTTTGCTCCAACGTTTTAACAAAGTTGAAAGGAAATGGAGGGGGCGAGAATGATTTGCTTTTGCTCTTTTGTTTATCTCTAAAAAAGATTATTGAATCAGTATTTGACCACGTCCCATTAATTATTTATCATAAAAGGACCCAAAAATCTCCTCTAGCCTCTATCCGTATGCCACAAGACAAAATGATTAATACGATTTCTCTATCACAACAGGCTATTCTCATATTACCATTTGAGTAAACTTTAAACTTACTTGATACCTTACAGTGAAAACAAATAGATTAGTCTTTGACATTCCAAAATACAAGGAAAATTAGCAATCATACTCATATCTGACACTTACTCTTGAATTAGTTTAATATATGACAACAAACATAGAAAAAAAGTTTTAAGTTTCTCAAAATGTTAGGCAAAAGGAGATATACAGTATTTATCATATTCCTCCTTTTTGTGAATTGACCATTGGTGGAATTGGGGAGAGGTGGGGGTGGAGGAGTGATTGGGCATATTCCTGCAATTTGGGAGCAGTTAAAGATAAGGTCCTGAATGTTGGGATGTGGATATGTAGGCGACTTGGGATAAATCCAAAACAGAATTATTGTATCCTTGACTAATAATTTAGCTGGACTTGAACTACTGTAAAGAGTAATTTGGTTCAGCAAAAAGCAGAAATTAGTAGAATAAAACCATGTTTCTCTGCTGAAAGATTTTCATTCAATAATTGAAGGAAGATTTAAAGAAGAACCAGTAGTGGGAGAGAGCTGTAAACTCACTTGAAAGCAAAGACTGGTGAGTGAGTGACTGGCGCCTTCTGAAAAGGAAAAGGATTTTCTTCATGATTATTCTCCCTAACAACACAAGATCAATTGATTTCGATGGTGGATGGTGAAGTAAAATAATTGAAATTTGTAACCAAATCTCATCCACTTCCCACTTGAGTTAACCCCAAGTAAAGCTTTTCAACAGCACAGGAAAGTTTAATATCGATCTCCTATTTGGTGTTAAAGAAAAAAAAAAGAAGAAGAAAGAGGCTTCAACTTGTAGAAAACCACTCTACTCCAAAATTGCAAATGCATGATTCAACATTATGCAAATGGTAGAATAAAGCTTCCAAGGAAAACTTAGAAGAAAAGCTGCTACTGGTTGGTGAAGATTGGAGCATCTTTCTTTTGGAGATGGATGTAGTCCTTGCAATCATTTTATTCTTTTGGGTACATCATCTCTTGGGAATCTTTCAGGGATGATATGCAGAGCTTTTGGGATAATTTCATATTATTAGCTATTGTAAATTTCCTTTTTTCTGTACTCTCTTGAGCCTTGGTAGGATAACTTTAGACAAAGAAGATAGAAATTTTTTGTTCAAATTTTTTTTTGTATAAATACTTTTTCAGATGATCTTTTATCTTAGTATATCATTTGTATTGAGGTAGGGTAGTCGGTTTTGTGTGTGTTTATATCTATCAAAAAATTTGTCTAATGACTTTTTCTAAATGTCTCATACCATTTTAATTATAACTAAACTTTAATTTAATGATTTTTATTTCTATTTAAATTTCGAAGTTTGAATTTTTGTTCCCTTATATTCTTTTACTTTTCAAATGTGAGAATATAAAAAAAACCTTATCTTTCGATAAAAGCTTTAGTGTTTGGTTCAATCCAAAATAGCAAAATGACCATAACATTGAATGTCACTTTAGATACATTACATTGAAAGTTCAACCAAGGTATTATAAATAGACTTTATGTTCATACTGAATTAATTTGAAAAGAATTAAGGTTATTAATTGTTGTCTTATGCTATCTTGATGTATGAAAGGAATATTATTGTAAAAAATTAACTAATAAGAAAGTATCTAATAGTGTTAAATGAGATGTGACACTAACTCATATATGTATGGATCTTGCGCAAAGTGTCCAAGGGACACAAACTTTCTTGTTCTTGTCCGATAGTCACAGGCCCCGTAGGCGGGGTTGGGGGGGGGGCCGGCTCCTTTGTTGGCGAGTGGCGAACACGCTCGGCCACCGATTCAACGTACTGCAGCTGGCTGTCACTTTTGGGTCCCACACACGTAGCGCAACATCAAGGGGAAAGCGCGTGGACTTGGCCACC